TCAGTCACTGGTTCTATCCCAAATCTCATGACATTGTGTTCAACTTGCCAGGTCACTTTGCCCTTGAATCACCATAAGACCTTGTACAGGGCTTCAGTTTCTTCATCCATAAAATGTGACGTTAATATTCATGCCCCTCACAAGCATGCTCAGCACCAGGATGCAGAAGGTTGGCTTGATCTGAGAAGGCAGAGGTGCCATCACTCTGCCAATTCTCTACCTACTTGTCTCAGTATTCAACCATAATTTTTGTCCTCTTCCCCATCTTTCTAGAAAAGGCCATCCTAAAACTCTCTTTTCTCAGTCCCAAGAGTTTTTAATTTGTTTTGGATTCCTTATGTCTTGAACAGTAACTTGAACACTTCTCATTCTCCATCACAATGTCAGGTCATGTTTTAACCAATTAAATAGGATGAAATAAACTGTTGGCTACATATGCTGAAACAGAGGTTCTTAACCTTTTTTGTGTCATGGAGCTCCCCGACAGTCTGATGAAGTTACGGACCCCTTTCCAGAATAAATAAAACACATGGGAGTCCAAAAAAACCCAAAGCATATTGAAACACAGTTAAAAAAATATTTAAAAAAAAAACAAAACAAATTCACAGATTCCAGGTTAAGAATTCCTGTGCTAAAAGGAGAGTCTTTCAGTGTTTGTAGTTTAAGAGGGAGGGTTAATTGTTGTACTGGCCTCTTCATCTGCACCCTCACCCTAAGAGGAATGACCGTCACTTATCATTGCCTTCTAATCTGAAGGATGGCCAAATATGTCCTACCTGCAGGTCCGAGGCTGCTGGAGACTTCTGCACTCCCAGAGTCAAGTGACCACCCTCTATGATGGCATTGGTGAGCCGCAGTTTGGACGCTGCTCTCCTGTAGATGATTTCTTCCACTGTATCTCGGCCAATAAGCCGAATAATCTTCACAGACCTGTGTAAGGCACACATGAAAAATGTTCCCTGTGAAAAGACTATAAGCAAAAGTAAGAAGCATTTAAGTCTAATATTTCTTAAAGAAAATAAGGCCTATTTGGAGCACCGTTAATGCTGGGGAATGTTTTATAAGGCTTTAACTCTTGTTGGAAAATGGTCTCAGATTTTCTGTACACTTTGGGCCTGTGTGCTTTCCATCTTGAATTTATTTTACTCAAGCATTTCTTTCACCCAGGCCAGGGGAAGCCATAGAGGTTCTTCTGCTTTGGAATTTCCTCTCATTCATCAACCTTTGCCTTCCCCAAATGGTGAGAGCTATTTTTAACAGCCTACACGGTCACAGAACCTCATTTATTAAGTGGAGTTTACCTGGGAATGATTATTTCTGGAGGTTCCTAAAGATATAAGTCTATCATTTCATTCCCTCTTTTCATAGACTAATGAAATAACTCATGGAGTCAACGTGAAAGTCGGGGCTTTAATTCTAGGACTGCCTTTCCCCACATCGTCCTCACTCCTCATGTCCCCACCCCCCAAACAGAACAAGAGACGAGCTATTGGCCAGAGAACCCAAAACTAAGGGAAGGGGAAAGGACTTGAGGACGCCACCGCCGCTCAGATTCCTCACTTCTTCTGACCGATTCTGTGAGCCCTGGCGATCGCTTGTAAGTCATTTTGAGGGTTAAAGTCACTGTCAACAAAAATAACTGTATCAGCGGCCGTTAAATTCATGCCCACTCCACCTGAAAAGAAGAAGAGAGAGAGTGGGATCAGTGACAGACAGGAAGGCAGATTAATAAAGTGAAAGCCAGGCCCGAGCAGCCGGTACATCTTTCACACTGACACCGCCATCCCCACTCCAGGACTCGGGGATTCCAAAATCCTGACTGAGCTCCTACTGTCTTCCTTACGGCAAGACGAAGGGGAAAGAGGGAAGGAGCAGGAATATCCAATATGTCCCAGGCTGGCATCATGAAACCACTTGAAATATACATTTAAAAAAAAACTCATTTAAGTTTTGTTGGAAGTGGTCTACGGTGGGGGAGAACAGTTCTTTCAGAAAACAGTTCTGGAAATTTCATAATAAAGGCAGTACTACTGGGGTGTCGCTAAGAAAAGTATTGTTTTATTTAAATTTTGCATTAAATACAAGTAATAAATAGTTTTCAGCCAGATTGGGGGGAGTTACCCAAAAAGAAAGCAGAAAATTATTTTTTTCTGGATTAGAAAGAACATAATTGGAGGAATTTAAGCCCTTAACACACAGAACAGCCTCTCCTGCTCCCATGTCAGGCACCCCAGTGTGGCACTGGGGATCAAAGACAAAAGCAAGGAAGAGCCTGCCCTCACTCAAGGAGCTTACGTTCTATTGAGGTTACAAGTGTTCAGAGAGAAGTCAATTCAAGGCATATCCAAAATGAACACAGGGATTTGTTTTTTAAGAGGGGGAGGGATAGACACCAGGAAAGGGCTCTTGAAGGAGTGACTCGAGCTGAACCTTGAAGGAAGCTGAGGGTGAGAAAGGAAGGCATTCTAGGCATAGAAGACTGCCTGTGCAAAGATACTGAGGTGGGAAATGAAATATAGTGTACAGGAAACAACAAATAGGCAACGTTGGCTGGAAAATAGAGTTTATGAGTAAAGTATAATCAGCCTGAAAATACAGAAGAGACCCAGACTATGAAGGCCTTTAAATGATTAAGAGAGGAGTCTGTATTTGATTCTAGAGTCAACAGGGCACCACTGAAGCTCTTTGAGCAAAGTGACACAATCAGACCTGTATGTTCAGTCTGCAGTTGTTTGGAAGATGGATTAGAAAGGGAAGAAACTGGATGCAAGAAGACCAAGTAGGAGGTTACTGCAATGGACTTGAACTACAGTGGTAGCCAAATGAATAGAGAAGGGGGTAGATTTGAGAGATGTATCATGAAAGAAATGAACAAAGTTGACTGATAAGAGTGGTGGGAAGGGATAGTGAAGGAGCAAAGAATTGAGGTTGACTCATAGGTTGTAAATCTGATTGACTAGAAAGATGGTGGCACCTGGGATCAAAAACAGGGAAAGAGGATGGGGAGCAGGAAGGCCGAAGAGGAAGAGGTGAGGGAGAGATGAGATCTGTTTTGGATATGCGGATGTTCACAGACGACTATATGATACCCAGGTAAAGATGTCTAGCCAGTAGGCAGATGGAGACGCCTACGAGATATCAAGAGAGAGATGAGTGCTAGATATGGAGATTTGGGAGCCATTAGCACAGAGAGGATGATTAAATTCATGCAGACTGATAAATCTAAACAATGGAACAAGAGAGACTATAGAAAGAGAAGAGGGTCCAGAACACTGCACAGGGGACTAAGAAGGATCTATTGCATGGATGGGAAAAGAATAAAACTTCTTGTCATGAAAATCCAAGGAATTTGAGGACCAGGGGGCATCCAGGAGGAGGAGAAGGCCAACAGGGCCAAACACTGCAATGAGGTCAAGAAGGATGAGGACTGAGAATAGACATTTGATTTAGCAATAAAGAGATCACTAGGGACTCTGGAGAAAACTGTTTCAGTTGAGTGGTGGGGATGGAGCCCATATTATAAGAGGATGAACGCGAGAAAGTGGAAACAGTGTATAGATAGCTTTTTCTAATAGTTTCCAGTGAAATGGAGAAAAGATATAGGACAGTAACTTGAGAGAACAGTAGAGTGAAGTGAAGCTTTGTTTAAACGACGGGACGAGCACGGCCCTGAAGTCAGGACAATCTGAGTTCGAATCCAGCCTCAGACCAAAAACTTGACACTCACTAGCTGTGTGACCCTGGGCAAGTGACTTAACCCCAACTGCCTAAAAATAAAAAAAATTTAAAATTTAAAAAAAAATTTAAAACAAAAAAAAAAAAGACGGGACACACTGCCTTGTAATTAATGTGCCTGGTATTTAATGCCTTTAAAAAGCTTTCTCTATAAAGATAGTTTCTTCTCTTTTTAATGTTACCGTGGGCTACCTGGACCATCACTGCTATAGTATAATCAAATTTCAAGAGAAGTATCTAAGTCTTTTAAATGCTGAAACCGCATCCTAAAATTAAAAAGTGATGGCAAATAGTACAATTAGTGATTAGGAACAGTTTTGCCTGATAAGCTGGCTCCAGCTCTCAGCCTAATCGATTCTGTCTTAACCCCCTCCAGGACCATGTTCTCACCTGCACCCTGCATGGATGCAGTTAGAAAGACCTTCTCTCCAGACTTAAATTCAGTTTTTATAAACATGATATCATAACTCATCAATCCATAAGCATTTATTAAGCACCAACTATTTACCAGGCACTGCTCTAGGTGCCAAGGATACACAGGCAAAATGGAAACAGTCTCTGCCCTCAAAGAACGTACACTCTATTGAATGTGAAGACAGTGTTGACCCACCATCAGCAGAAGATGCAAGTTTTTTTTCCAGTTGTGGTGATGGATTAATACTGACTTATTCACTTACCTGCATGGTTCCCTTCATGACCAATCACACATCCATGAGACAGCTGGGTGGGCTTGGGGTAGAGGCTGGGGCCAGGGAACATGGAAGCTAAGTGGCAATAACTGGACATCAATTACTTCATGCTTTACCTGCCTTGGTGCTCAGGAGAAAAACGAATATGGGCTGCTGTCCAAAGTTCTTAATTGCAAGGTGTCTTTCTTCTCCTCTCACTGACCCATCCAAACGCTCATAGCTGTAGCCTTTCCAGAAAGAAAACAGAAGAAAAAAATTACCTTTTCAAGAACTCTTCGGGGAAATAGCAAAAAACATACATCAGTCTTAAAACTTCCTCCTTCCATTTATTTACATAGGTCGGGGTGGGAACCTGCAGCCTCAAGGCCACATGTGGCCTTCTAGGTCCTCAGGTGTGGCCCTTTGACTGAGTCCAAGTTTTACAGAACAAATTCTTTTATTAAGAGGATTTGTTCTGTGAAGTTTGGATTCAGTCAAAGGGCCACACCCAAAGACGTAGAGGATCACATGTGGCCTTGAGGCTGCAGGTTCCCTATTCCTGATATAGGTATATCTCAACTTTAATCAAATCCAATATGAAAATCCAGATTGAAAAAAAAAAAAAAGGTTGTGATTCACTTTGTAAAAGGATACCTTAATTCACAAAGGGATTGATCACAGCAAACTGTCCCAGTTTTAAAAAATAACTTATAAAATTTTGATTTATGTACAACTTTTAAGGTCATGACTATTGCATCTAAGTGACCTATCTGTACTGTATTATTTGTTTTACTATGATTTACATCCCCAAAGTACCTTCCCTACAGGGAATACTTAGTTTGCCAAATGTTGAATGAATGACTCCTATCATACTGTTAACTCAGAAAACTAAGAAATGGCCAGTAATGATGATGATGATGATGATGATGATGATACCTAACATACATACAGACATGTATATATATGAGATACTTTAAAGCTGACAAAGTACTTTACAAATATTATCTCATTTGATCCTCACAACCACCCTGGGAGGTAGGTGTTACTATTAACCCCATTTCACAGATGATGTGGTTGAGGCAGGTAGAGGGTAAGTGATTTGCCCAGGGTCACACAATTTGTAAGTACTTGAGGCAAGATTTGAACTCAGACCTCCTGACTCCAAGTCCATCACTCCATACACTATACTACCTTGCTATTCCTTTCCCTATCATGTATGCCCTTGACTTCTTTCATCAACACTGTCCCCAATAATGAAGAGTCCTTCTTCCCTTCTCCTTCTTGGCACAGTCAGGCACAGGGATTCTGACTACATGTTTTTCATCCACAAACAGAAAAGTGCTAACTAAGAAGGCCTAACATGTCTCCGCTCACAAATGGTACTGTTTATTTTACTTGAGATTCTGGGGATCAACTCTGAAGTATTTGTTCTAGAACTGTGGTAAAATGCCGCCACCCAATCCCTGAGAGGGTGAGAGAGACTTGGTAATGCTTCCAGCTGCTGTAACGTTAGTTATGATAATTAATGCGACAAACCTTGCCTTCTGCATCCACCAAAAAAGTACAGTACCCAAAGTGTCACCCTGACACAGTAAAGGGCGAAAGGTATCCAGTCACTACTGGCTTTCTGATTTGTCCATTAGATTGGCTTGGTCAAGAGTAGGGAATTGGGAGTGTGGGCACAGAAGCAGAGAGCAAGTTATTCTGGGTAAAGGAGCCACACATCATCAATCAATCAACATTTATTAAGCTCCTACTATATGCCAGGGACTGTGCTCAGCACATTCAGGAGGCACAAGCTAAGAGAACCTTCCCAGGTCAGGAGGTTGAAGGGAAGGCACACGAAGAGGACTGAGCTGAGAGCTATAGGAAGAAAATTCTGGCCCAAGCAACAACTGAGGGCTAGAAAAGCCGATTCAGGAAGGCTGAAAAAGAGGAGCGAGCTCTAGTCACCCAATCCTTTATGTGGGAAGCAGAAATGAGTTGACATTATAGCTAGATCAGAGCAGAAAAATGTTAGGCTGGGGTATCGCCCAGGTGCGTAAGCTGAACGTTCTGGATTTGAGGACCAGAATTAATAGTAAAATCATTTGTAATTTATGAAACGGTTAACCCTCGTATTTGTTACTGGGATCCCCAGGGAGCACTGTACTCCTGCCCCAAAGGCCACTGTATGTACTCCTCCTCCACGCATGGGATTCTTCCATCCTGCTAACTTCCACTTGGGGTGGCCCAGGTGGGACGAGTCTGTATGCAGAATTTCCGGGGAAGTCTCCCAGGGAGCATGGCCAATTCCGTGTCAACATAAAAGACGCTGGCATGCCATGACTGGGGAATAGGAAAGCAGATGAGAGGGGAGGAAACTCCTATGATTCTGCCTGGCAGGAGTACTGAAATTCAGGGAACCCTGGTGAACTGGGGGCACGGCAGCAGCTGATAACCTCAAAGAGACACGAATGACCAGAGAGCGGGGATGCTGACGGGGAAAAGAAGCAGGGCCACAGGAGTGCCCCGGACAGCCACCACCACCATCTCTAAACGCTGACTTCTGCCCACGCTTCCAACATTGGGGGGCCACAAATCCTTCCCACTACTTTGTCTTTAATCATTACCATCCTTTGGTTTTAAGCTACCTCTTTCATTCAATCATTCATTCATTCATTCATTCATTAAATAACAGCCCACTAAGTGTTTCCTGGGGCAAAGCAGAGCGCTTTCTTGTCTTCAGCCCGTGTTCATTAGAGCTTCTTTTCTCCCCCCTCTCCCCTCCCCAATTCCTTGTCTTCCTTGCCCCTTCACCCCATCCTCCCTCCCCTCCCACGTGGAGCCTAATCAAACTGTGAGGTCCGACGAGGCCCGGCCAGTGTGGAGGCCAAGAGAAGTCACCTCGGTAATCCATGTAGTCCTGAAGAATATCCAGCATGTGGGTCATCTGGGAGAACAGCAGAACGCGGTGACCTCTGCGAGAAGCGAGAAAAGGCAACTCTGTGAGTGCCCACGGAGGCGTTCCGGCACAATCCGGCAAAATCCGGCACAATCCGGCAACGCGAGCTTTAGAAGGCCTCCCTGACCCTCGAATCTCACTCAGCACCATCTCCTCGAAGGTCCCACAAGCTGATGCCTCTCTGTTTTTCTAGCTGTGTATCATACAATCCAGCCAAACCAGATTTTCTGCCACCAACGTGCCCGGCCCTTTCCCACCTCCCTACTTTTGCTCACACTGTTCCTCCTGCCAGGAGTGCCCTTCTTTTTCTTCACCTACAGAATTCCAAACCATTTTTTCAAGCTCAACTCAAATGCCACCTCCTACGTGAAGCTTTCTTTTCTGGATTCATTAAACTCTGGAGTCTCCTGCACCTCTCTGAGGCACTTATTCAATATTTTCTATTATAATTATCTGTATTTGAGACTATTCACCCACTTATCTAAATGTCTTATTTCAGGGGTGGGGAACCTACGGCCTTGAGGCCACATGTGGCCCTCAGGGTCCTCAAGTGCAGCCCTTTGACTGAATCCACATTTGTTCTGTGATGTTTGGATTTGGTCAAAGGGCCGCACTTGAGGCCCCAGAGGGTCACATGTGGCCTCGAGGCCACAGGTTCCCCACCCCTGTGACTTATTTCTTCTGGCATCTAACATGATGCTCTTCAAATAGCAAAATAATCAAAAGTGTTTATTAAATAAGTGACTAAAGGTTAATGGAATCATAGAGTTTTAGAGGTGGAAGAGGGCTCAGAAGTCATTCGATTCAATCTTTACTTTCTTTACTTCCAATAGGTGGTAACCCAACATTTGTTTGAAGACCTCCAGGGGGCTGCCTAGGGATAGCTGGTGGCACAATGGATACAGCACTAGGCCTGGAGTCAGAAGGACTTGAGTTCAAATCTGGCCTCAGACACTTAGCTATGTGACCCTGGGCAAGTCACTTAACCTCTGTTTGCCTCAGTTTTCTCAACTGTAAAATGGGGGCAATAATAGCACCTACCTCGTAGGGTTGTCGTGAGGATCAAAAAAGATAATATTTGTAAAACAATTAGCACAATACCCAGCTCATAGCAGACACTATGGAAACGTTTATTCCTTTCCCCAGTGAGACCGAATTCACCACCTACGGTAATACGCTACCTCATTCCATGGTAACAGAGTCCAAAAACCTACAAGTTTTTTTCATATATTGAGTCAAAACCTGCTTCGCTATAACTTCATCCTGGAGGTCCTGATACTGCTGTCTGGGGCCAAGGGAACACTGACAGTCACACCTCCACACTTTCAAATAACTGAAAACTGCTATCTTACGCCCACCGTCTTCTTTTCTTGGCTTTAAATATCACCAATTACTTTTAAAATCCTCCTAGGACTTTCTTTTCACCCCACATCTCCTTACCTGAAACTCCTCAATGTCCTTCTCAAAGTGGAAATGGGGGCTAACTAGAATAAATGACCTCTGGAACACCCCCACCCCCGGGCCCTGGCCACTCTGCTTTTGTGCACGCACCCTAGATAACATTAATCTTTTGGTAGGGCACGTCACACAGGTGACTCATACTGGGTCTGCAATCCATTCAAATTGCTAGAGATCTCACTGTACACAAACCACTTTGTCACCCCCATTTCCTAGTGATATAAGAGATACTGTTTTCACTCGAGTTCGGGGCTTTGCATTTCTCCCTATCCAATTTCACTAAAACCCCTGTTCTAACCTGCCAAAATCTATTTGAATTTCAAGTCTGTCATCCAGCGTATTAGTTATTCTTCTGAGGTTTATGGAATCCACAAATTTAATAGGAACGCTATTTACGCTTTCATCAAAGTCAGAGATAAAACTGGCCAAAGTTCTTTCTACTTTCCAGAGCTTTCTCCATAATGACATCACTTTACTCATCACCACTCTCAGAGGTTCATCCTTTTCTAAACCCACCTACCTGTAACACAACCATGCTGTCCACAAGAATGTCACGAGAGATTATGGTAAATGCTAACCTTTTCTGATCCCCCAATGGCTAGTGTCCTCTCTCCCTCCCAAACTACCTTGAATTTAATTACTTTGAATAGATTTTCTATTCAGTCACATTCTATTTTTCTATTTATTCACATTCTATTTATGCTGTGCATATCTACACATATAGACACATACATATGTATATATGTATACACAACACCCACACACCCTGTCTCTTCCTTTAAAACGTATGCTCACTGAAAGTGAGGATTGTTTCATTTTTTGTACTTGTGTTCTCATCACCTAGAAGTACATTATGAGACAGCAGGTGTATAATAAATATGTCGATGGACTAGTTGTTGTCCTTTCTCCTTAGTAGGAAACCAGAAGCCAACTGGGTACTGAGTCACCTTTCCTGCCCTGCTGTCGTGATCTCACCTTGGCCAGGCGGAGGTCCTCACCTTCCACTGTTTCTCTCTGTATCCTCAGCACAGTTTACAAAGTCTTTCTGCCATCCTTAGCACTGGGGGCAAAACTCCATTCATTCTGGATGAATGAGCTTTTCTCATCCTCTAGGACCTCACCACGCTTTTATATTTACCTTCAGGTACCTGTCCTCTAAACCTGAGTTTGTCCACATGCTCCCTGGGTAGCCCCATCAGTTCCTCTGAGGGTCCTGGCCATCTCTTCCTCATCAGAATCACGTGCCCCTATGTTATTAGGGTCTTACTTTTTGTAGCGTCTTACCCCTGCAGAGCTGATTACCTTTGTCCAATCTCAGCCCCCAGGAATCTGCTTATCCCTCCTCTGAACTCTTGCAAGCTCACCTTCCCAAAGACTCGGGGGTACACAGGACACCCCACTGTCCCTGCCTCCCCTAACACAACACAGCATTCCAAAGGCTCTATCTTTTCCACACCAGGAACCAACTTTTCCTAGAGGTACCATGTACTTGACGGAACCCCAGGCTCCTATTCCCCATGACTGAAGGCTGGAGAGATGGATTTGGAAGAGCTGAGAAACAGCAGCCCTGACCAACCAAATCCAGAGCAAGGGAACAAAAACTAAGTTAACATTAAGGCCAAGACTGGGCAGAAGCTGGGCAGGAGGATGTACAAGAAAAACAGACTGATTAACCTGCAGCTACTAAGACTCGTTGTGTCTTGTATCACTATCACCCTTTTCTTGACTTTTGTCTTTTGATCTCAATATCTGGCACAGTACCTGGCACAGGGTCAGTGTTTAATAAAGATCTGTTGATTTACTGATCCATATAAACCTCCACCTTCCTAACCAATTGGATGCTCCCCTAGAAACACTGCAGTAAATCTCCTTTCAAAAGCACCATAAAATGGCAAAGATAAAAAGCAAGGTTCCATGTATGTTAAAATATTCCTAACAATGTTTCTCATGATAGCCAAGAATACACTTCCTTCTCCAGCTCATTTCACAGGTGAGGAAACTGAGACAAACAGGGTTAAGTGACTTGCCCAGGGTCACGTAGCCAGTAAGTATCTGACATCAGATTTGAACTCAGGAAAATGAGTCTTCCTGACTCCAGGTCCGGCACGCTATCCACTGCGCCACCTAGCTGATCCCTAATCATATACAATAACTATAATAATTCAAATGAAAACCAAATTAAAAGGCAACTGAACCCTGGTTAATGGCAAAGACCAACCCTGGAAGGTATACTTCCTTCCACGTAGGGAGGGGGTGAGTACAAAACACTGTACATACTTTCAGAAAGTTGCTCTGTTGCTTGGTTTTGCTTAGCTGATTTCAATTATTATAAGGAAAGATTTGATGGGGGCGGGGAGGATATTGGGCATGACATAAAGACCCATAAGGTCTCAATAAAAGAAAACAAAACAAAGACGATAAAGGGCAAATTCCCCATGGAGCAACAAGGACTGAGGGGAGGGGGAGAAATAAACAAGCTCTTTGAAAATGTATATACTTAAATGTGTACACCTAAAAGGTTAGTTTGCTATTATTGGGAAGTAGGTTATAATAAGAATAATAATAATGAGAGCTAACATTTATATAGAGCCTACTATGTGCCAGGCACTGTGCTAAGCGCTTTACAAGTACTATCTCATTTGATCCTCACAACAACTCTGTGAGATAGGTGCTATTATCATCCCCATTTTACAAATTAGGAAACTAAGGCAGACAGAGGTTAAGTGACTTGCCCAAGGTCACACAGTCAATAAGTGTCTGAGGTTTGATTTGAACTTGGGTCTTCTCAACCCCAAGCTCAGGCACACTATCTATTGTGCCCCCACACCGTCCTCTCCTGTCTTCAGGGGAAAACTGAGAGCTGGAGGTCTGAGAACCCCACAAAATGTTGGGGTAGGACAGTGCTCACTGAGCTAGGACAAAGATAGTTGGTTTAAAAGTGAAACTGTAAAAGGCTGGGGTTCTAGGGAGAGACTTCCCAGGCTCAGGGCATCCAGGCACCATAGGATGTCTCCACCAGAGATCAACGCACCCCGGAGGCCCAAGGACAAACAGTATACTAGGGCAGGGAAAGACCACTGCAGCAGGATGGGGGAGGCCTGGGAAGGTTCCATGGCAGAGAACGGATACCTGGTGTACAAGAATGACAGCAGCTTGTCCAGCAGATGAAGCTTCCCACTGGCCTCAATTAGGTGGTCTCCAATTTCAAAAGGCTCTGGCTCCACACCTACAATAGAGAAGTCACTGAGATGGGCGCCAAGGCCTGGAAGCGGGGAGATGTTGTCCCATGTGTTGTGCTGCATCCTTCCCATGGGGTGAACTAAAGACTGGCCTGAACCCCAAACCGCCGCTGGCCAGAGTGGAGCCCTGGTGTTGCTCCCTACTACTTCTGAAGGGGAACATGAAGCCATTTTTGGCAAGAAGATCAGATTTAAGGAGCCTGCATTCCATCTTATTCTGCAGAATCTTCAGGCTCCTTCACCTTCCTAGGAAGCTTGTTTTTATTTTGTTTGGTTTTGGGGGCTGGGTGGGGTGGGGAGTGTGCAAAGCTTTCTATGGTCTGAGGTTTCCTAGATTACCATAACCTATACCTAGGGGTTCTGAACCTAGGGTCCGTGGCCCCCTAATGAATCTCGAACTGAAGTTTAGCATCTCCTCCACTTATAAGTGGAAACAACAAGCACTATTCTGAGAAGGGGTCCACAGGTACCACCAGGCTGCCAGAGGGGCCATTACACATGAAAAGTACAGAACCCCTGGCTCCACAGGAACCCAAACCTCTGGGAAGCTCCCTTGGGTCTAAAAACACCACCCCCAAACACCCCACCAACTAGAAGCCCATCATTCGTGGATTTATCTGGATTGACAAGTGGCCTCTTTTAATAAACAAATATCTCTCTGAGGATTAAAGGGGCCTTATCAGTTATGCACACTTTAACGTGAACTAATTAAGAATTTTTTTCCTCTTGGTGGTCCAGACTTCTGAAGGACCATGTGAATGCTGAGAGAGAAGCGATTTAACAAACATTTATTTGGGGCCAACAATGTACAAGGCACTGTGCTAGGCACAGAGGATGGAAATATAAAAAGAAGGAGCCCTGACCTCAAAGAGCTTATGTTCTATTAAAGCTCATGGAGTGGATGGAGAAAGTCCAAACCTCAGGGTGGCCACAAGAGTCTAGAAGCTATTTAGGTCCCTGAAGGGAATGTGGAGCTAAAGAATTCCAAAGAGGGAAGGTGGTTTTTGGTTATTAATGGGCAACTATGACTCCTTTATATTGTTTTGCATCCTTTTCTTGGTGTGCAATAAAGGCTTTCTTGTATCATATATACACATACACATACACATATTGTACACACACATATATACATACATGTATACACACATACACAGACATGTGTGTTTATATACACAAGACATATATGCTGATATACATATATACACACTTACACAGAGACACGTTTATGTGTATATACACACATACAGACACCTGTTAATGTATGTATATGTATATACACACATACACAGACACATGTGTGTTAATATATGTAAATGTGTACAGATAAATATACATATATGTGTGTGCGTATATATATATATGAAATTATATATTTTATATATATATCTATATATATATTTTTATATATAGATATATATATATAATCAGCTAGAATCCCTGAAGGTAATGACCAAGATAGGACACCACAAGGAGGGAGAGGAGGGACTGAGTGGCCAAAGGCGTACCACGAGGGCACTGGGTGACAAAGAAAACACTGATTATGTCCTACTTAGGACTGAACTTGACTCTTCCCCTCCTATGAGATGTGTCCTCAGAAAACAGGACCTAAGAAGATGAAGCACCAGGCCCACGCTCCACTCTAGGTGAGACGGGCCAAGAGCCCTCCCTAAATTTTGGTGCCCAGAATGAGCAGAATGCATGAAAAAAGATTCCCTTTCTCTCTAGATGCTATACTTCTCTTAAGGATGCCTAAAGTCACATCAGTTCTTTTGGCTGCCAGGTGGCAAGGATGACTCATCTTGATTCTAGCCCCAGTTTTACAGCTAGTTGGACAAGAGATCACCCACTTTAGCTCTGGAACCAAGGCTGGATCTGGAGCTCAGAAAAATCTAAGAGGACGCCCATGTAAGCTTGTAGCCCCCCTGTCAACACAAACCTGCTAACTGACTGTTGACCGACAGGAACTATTAAGAGAAACAGAGGCATTCTCTTACCATCAAACAGATAAGGGTGGCCCACACATTTCCTGAGCTGCGATAGGATATTCTGAAGCTTTACCTTCTTGGCCATTTCGTTTTCAAATGCATCTGAAATATAAAGAGATTAGTGAACTGGAGTCCTCATTTTTTATTGTATTATACTTCTATTTGGAGTATCTTTATGCTAAATGAACTACGGGAAAAAATGTCTATCTGGCAAGTTTTGTTATCAAACATTTAGTTTCGAGATGGTGGACTAAACTTCCAGTTGATCTGAAGGTGTCTCTTGATGTCCTCCTACAGTGTTCCAAACTCAATCAAAATGAGTGAACTCTTGTCAAGGCGATGGTGGAACAATGAATTAGACAAATGAGAGTCAAATGATCAAGCTGAGAAAGAGCACCCTTCATAGTCAGTCAATTAAAGAGTGAACTCGGTTAGGCAAGGATTTTTGGAGTCTATAAGACTTCTGATAGGCCACAACACGTGGGGAAGTCACAGATAAAAGGGAGAGACCACTGAAAGTCACAAGTTCCATCCTACCATCCCCATCACGGGACCAGAAATAGGTAATAAAGTTGGGTGAAAGAAAAAATCCGCCAAGAAGAATGGTGATGATGATGACAATGAAGATAGTGAAGAAAACCTCCAACTATGCTACATGGAAGTTGATCGGAATTCTAAGCACTTCATTTCATACCCGTTCTTCATAGAGGCATCTCAGGAGCACAGTAAGTAGAGCGCTGGGCCTGGACTCAGAATAACCTGAGTTCAAATCCAACCTCAGATGCTTAGTAGCTGTGTGACCTTTGGCAAGTCACTTAATTTCTGCCTGACTCAGTTTCCTCAACTGTAAAATGGGGATGATAATAGCACTTACCTCCCAGGGTTGTCATGAGGATCAAATGAGGTATTTTTACAATAAAAAATCACATACATGCAATTATATTAATTATTACTTATATCTTAAAACTAAATAATATTATAATTTATAAGAAATTATAATGATTATATATGCAATTATCATGTAATATATGGATATATTATAATCATCATTATTGTTGCTGTTGTTGTAAGGACAAAATGAAATACTTGTTAAGTATTTTTAAATTGTTATATAAATGATAATGATGGTGATCAATAGTATCAATACATTTTCTTCCCGAAAACCTATATCCTAGCTCTGCCTCTCAGCAAAGAGATGGCCCCTGGTTACCTAGATCCTTCATCAAAATGGCCTTGTAGTACTTCTTCTGCAGGGCCGACATGCCATGGTAGAGCACCACTTCTGTCTTCTTGGGGAGCTCCGGAGCCACGTCGGCCTTAACTCGCCGCAGCAGAAAGGGCTGCAGGAGCTGATGCAGTTCAGTTGCTGTGGGAGGAAAGGTCAAACAGGAGTGTGCTGAGAAGCTCCATGCAACCACCACTTTGAGCCACCAGAGGACACAGAGCGATTTACCTGGCGAGCTGGGGGCCTGCTCCCCTGGGCACTCGAGTCTGCTAACCACAGTCCTGATTAGCACCCCTCCTCTCCCTTTTATGTGCCCCGCAAACACGGCTGTGATGGATCAGCCCCGTTATTATCTAAGCACAGCCTGGCGATTCATCCCAGATGATAAGAAAGGCTGCTCAGCTTCAGACCCTCCCCTCCTGGCCTTTCTTCTTGGGGGAGCACAGGTAGAGAAAAACTTTCATGTGGACTGGTCGCTTTTGTTTGTTGTTAAAGGCTGATTAATACTTAAAGAATAACTGACAATCTAAAGTAGAAATTCCTTAAACCACAAATCCTCAGGCTGGGTTCATATTTTAGAGGAAAATGATTAGCTGACCACTGAGCACCCCTGAAGGCATGACAAATAAGCCTATTACCTGAAATAACAAAACCAGTTTACATTTATAGGACATTCTGGACTTTAAAAAATGCTTTCACACCATTTATCTCACTGTATTACAACCACCACTCAGTATGGTATGGTAGCTTGGTTATCCTCCAGGTTCTCTGAATTTTCGGGGCCAACTCAGATAGTCACCTCCCTGAGATCAGAGTAAGTGTCCTGGGTCTGCCTGCCTCACAATTTTCCCCATCCCCAAAGGAGATTTTAGCTTTAGTTTACATTTTCTCCATCCCTAACTGCTACGCCAGGATGTCCTGGCATTTCCTAGAGGGTTGCCTAATTGTTAGAATGCTGAGCAAACAAATGGGGACATGGAGGCATTTGTCCAGGGTCACAAAGAGAAACAGCGGCAGAGTCAAGGTGAGGAGGCTGGTCTTCTGCGAGCCAGGCTGAGACTCAGAGCCCTGAGTGGTGGTGCCTGGGATACATCAATCCCTCTCTATTCCAGGATTAAAGCAGTCCTTAAGGAGCTCAGGCTAATGCTAGGCTCCATATGGAATGCCAGGCACGCCCTCTGGTGCTCAGTAAAGGAGAAACCAGCAGAAAGAGGATCAAAGGTAAACGTCATGTCTGAGATGAATGAGCTGGTGAATGGCCCTCTAACAGGGGCTGGTCTGGGCTCTGTGAACTTCTTCTTGTGGTTTAAAAAGTAATATTCTGAAAACTGTATTTCAATATAACTGGTTTCCTTTCAATCCTAAGTATTTTATTTTATGCATTTAAAAATACCCTTCAGAGAATGGGATCTGTGGATGTCACCAGCCTGCCCAAGGGGTCCATAGAACAAAGAAGATTAAGGACCCCTGGTCTAACACCATTCTACTGCTTCTGTTCAGCAGTCACATCTGTCCCCCTGCCCATCTCCGCCCATCTTTCTGTCTGTCCCCCTGCCTGTTTTAACCCATCTTTCTATTTCCTTGCTCACCTCTCTGTCACTCCCCCTACCTCTGTCCATTTCTCTGGCCCCCTGTCTACCTCTAACCATCTCTCCTTCCACCTATCTCTGCCCATCCCTGATCTCTTGCCCACCTCCACCTATGTCTCTGTCTCCTTGTCCACCTCTGCCCATCTCTCTGTCCTTCCACCTACCTCTGCCCATCTCCCTCTCTGTCCCCCTGCTTGTCTCTTCCAGTAACTACCCTCCTTAAGGACAAGACCTGCCTTCCTTTCGTCTTTAGATCTGCAACACCCAGCACAGAGCCTGGCACGCGGCAGGTGTTTAATAACAGGGCAGTATCCAGCAGACAGACAATTATGTGAGGGAGTTTGTGGGCAGGGTGGGCAGAGGAGGGTTGCCATGGAGACCACTGCATGGCTATTGCAATAGATACACTCAGAAATACAGGCATTTGGGAGAGTGGTGTGGTAACCCATCCACACCAGCGACTTCATACGCTGTATATATTTTGAATGAGTTTATTTGTGTATATATGGTTTTCCCAGTAGAAAGAAAGCTCCTTGAGGGCAGGCACTGTTCTGTTTGTATATGTGCTATCTGGCATCATGAAAGGCACACAGCAAGTACTTAATAAATGCTTGAATTGAGTCGAATGCATGGGGTAAGCTGGCCTCTTCTACTCCAGGTTCCACTTCACCCAGGCTTTAAGATTTGCCACAATGAGGAAAGGGAGCTCAGCAATTATGGGGGAACTTGGTACCTCTCAAGGAAACCTGGTTAGATTTTGGACAGCACTACAAAACTGCAGGTTCTGGGGGAATCTGGTGCTAACTCACATAGACAACCCGATTTTAAAGGGTGTGCGTTTCAAAGGCAGAGCCGCTACTTGACTGGGATCTGATAAACTCGTAAACTCTTTCAATCACTGCTGTGGCCTGCGCTGTGTCAACATCAGACAGAAACAGGGGCCGCTAAACTACACGTAAGGACCCCC